GTACTTGTGTGCTTTTAGTTCATGCTGAAGTCCTTTTGGAACTGGGTGTACGTTTTACTCTAACAGTCTTTTTTTCGTTCAGGGAAGTGGTTGGAAAGTTGTTGCAAGTTTTGAAGGAAATTTCCCCAACCAAATCAAGAAGCTTCCATTGGATAGACATTTTGACTTGAACAATGTTAAAAGGGTGGGTGTCTGCTTCTTATCTAAAATGTTCTGCACGAGACGTGTTTTGAGACTAGACTTCATTTTTATTTTTGAATTTATCAGGTTTGTTTGGAGGCAGATGGTTATCAACCTTATCTTATATCTCCAGAGAAAGGGTTGAGGTCGTTGATAAAGATTGTTCTTGAGTTGGCTAAAGATCCTGCACGTCTTTGTGTTGATGAGGTGTGCATGCAGTAGTATTGAATTTCAGTAATTTACTGCATTCGTCTCACTTTGACACTTTAATTCTTCTGAATGTTGCTGAGAGTTTTGTTAAGTTTTCGCTTGTTCTAGTGCTCTTATCTACTTTATTTATGTCTTAATATATATTCCCTACTCTAAATTATCATGCATCCAGATCTCTGGTTTGTCTTATTTCTTTTTTTTGAGCTAATGCGGTCAACTTTTGATTAGGTTCACCGAGTTCTTGTTGACATAGTTTCAGCCTCTGCAAATGCTACACCTGGACTCGGGAGATATCCTCCTTTCAAGCGAGAGGTAATAACGTTTGGTGGTGTTTTGTTCAGTAACATTTTATCATTTCGATAATAGTTGTTCCTTCCTAACAAATGATCAACCAGGTTGTAGCTATAGCAAGTGCAGCACTTGATGGGTTTAAGAACGAAGCCAAGAAAATGGTGGTTGCACTTGTTGATATGGAACGGGCTTTTGTACCACCTCAACATTTTATCCGTCTTGTGCAAAGGAGGTATGCTGTCTTAGCTTTCTGTTCAATTTTTTTATTTTGTACTCTTAATGGTTGTACTCGGGCTTACTGATCCCTCATTGTATTTTTTCTTCTTCTTTTAAACACTATCGATCGATCTTTGTTGAATTCTATAAGTTCTTTAGCTGCTTTTTTTTTTTGCATGTTAGAGCATTTAGGGTTTGATGCTTTCATTACTAGAAAACTGTGTACCTCTCTGTAGGAGTATTCGCTGAGGACAAGTTTGACATTGATCTATTCCATTAACTTCTTATACTTCTTGTCAACCATCTTTTATGGTTTTGTTATTCTTTCCTGTGACCTAATACCTTAATGGTATAGGTACCATGCTTTCTGATGGGAGATTCTATATACTTGTTAGCCTGGCTGGCAGGGTGTTTTAGGTCTCTTCAGTATGCTTCTTTAGAATCTCTATGGCTGGACTTTTGTATCCAAGCAGTCGTATTTCTGTAGCTGCACATTTGTTGAGCAAGTCCAGAATTGTTGTTTGCATGGTTCATAACTGAAAATCATTTCTATCTTTTTTACGATGTATTGACTTCATCAGAATGGAAAGACAACGTCGCGAGGATGAGTTGAAAGGACGATCTTCTAAGAAGGGACAAGATGCTGAGCAGTCCCTTTTAGGCAGGGTGCGTCTTCATTCAAATTAATTTGAATCCTTGCCGTGGAAAATGCTTTTTATGGTTTACATTTACTTACATGAAAGTAATATAAAAGTCTCATACCTGCATGTATATCAGGCTTCTAGTCCTCAGCCGGATGGGCCCATAGCTGGTGGTAGCATGAAATCAATGAAAGACAAACCACAAGATAAAGAGACGCCGGAGGTCTCTGGTCTGAAAACTGCTGGACCTGAGGGAGAGATAACAGCAGGTTGGTATCCTATTATACGTCTACCCAGTTGCTGTCTGAAACTTTCATTCTTCCCAATATCACTTTTACATGCGTTGCATGATATCTTTGTCTTTTTCGTCCTAAGCCTTGATAAAACCAACTTCCAAGTTCGATAATAAGCAATTACTCTTTCATATAGGGTACTTAATGAAGAAAAGTGCAAAAACAAATGGATGGAGTAGGCGATGGTTTGTTCTGAATGAGAAAACTGGAAAGGTTAGTATTTAGTGTATATTCCGGTGTTGATCCAAATATCTGCAAGGAGGAAGCACTTTAAACACTTACTTATCCATTTACCTTTTTTCTAGCTGGGCTATACCAAAAAGCAAGAAGAAAGAAACTTCCGAGGCACTGTAACTTTGGAGGTAGCATCCTCTTCCCATCTTTTTTAACTCCTGTCTATAGTGTACTATAATTAGAAAGGACTTATGTGAATGAGAAGAAAACTGGATAAAAATAATAACATTGTTTCATATTCACCTGTTATTTTCCCCTACACTGGTTTTTCATGGAGATTTAAAGTTACTTTGTGTATTGTGAAGGTCATGCTTCAAATTTCGTATAATATTGTTATTATCAATGGGAAACGTAGATGCTCTATATATAGCGTTTTTCTCTTCATGTTTGCCTTTTTCATTAACTTTGTTAATCCATTCAGGAATGCACTATTGAAGAAATTCCCGAGGAAGAAGTAGAAAAATCAAAGAGTTCGAAGGACAAGAAGGCAAACGGACCTGATTCAAAAGGACCAGGTCTTGTATTTAAAATAACCTGCAAGGTTCCCTACAAGACTGTACTAAAAGGTTCGATCCATTTTCCGAATTCAAACTTCTTAATCCTCTATGCCTTCTTTTATGAACTTTTCGTAAACGATTATGTTGCAGCTCACAATTCCCTTGTGCTTAAGGCTGAGAGTGCAGTCGATAAGAACGAGTGGATTAATAAGTTGCAGAAGGTCATTCAGGCTCGAGGAGGCCAAGTGGGCAATGTTTCCATGAGACAGAGTTTTTCAGAAGGTTCACTTGTAAGTCATCATGGCCAACTTCTATGCTTAATCTGTTATCTTTCAGATCCACTTCCTTTAAAATCTACGCTAGATATGTTCACTAGTCTTAGGCACTACCAGTTATCACTGACGAACTTCCAACTCTATATTACAAAGGTTTCTTTGTGCTTGAAACACTGGACGGAAGAACTTAGAAACTTTACGTTGAAAAGTTAATGCTGTTGAAAGAGTGAAAAAAAGTAAACGATGTCTTAGTGAACGTGAAAATTGTTGTCGAGTTGGCTTATTAGGCATTTAGTTTGGTATCCATGATAGAGGTTACTTATAGTGTTATCTTGTCTGCATTTCAGGATAAGATGGTTAGGAAACCCGTTGATCCAGAAGAGGAACTCCGGTGGATGTCCCAAGAAGTACGGGGTTACGTTGAAGCTGTCCTTAACAGTCTTGCAGCCAATGTTCCAAAGGTTGGACTGTGCTTAATCTATAGCTCCAAGCTTCCTTGTTCATCTTTTTTTTTTTTACAACTGTTCCTCGGTCGTGATACTAACAAGCATCATGAATTAAACAGGCTGTTGTTCTTTGTCAAGTGGAGAAATCAAAAGAAGACATGCTTAATCAGCTATACAGTTCTATCAGGTTCAATATCTTTCCCCCTCCTTGTGACGAATTCCTTATCAGTTGCGGTGTGCTTATCTGCCCTCTCTTGTTTTTCGATATATAGTGCAATAGGCAATGAGAGGATTGAGTCATTGATTCAAGAGGATCAGAACGTTAAAGGAAAAAGAGAGCGTTACCTGAAACAATCCTCTCTTCTCTCTAAGCTCACAAGGCAGCTTAGCGTTCATGACAACCGAGCTGCTGCTGCTTCAAGTTATTCTGACAACAGTGCCACTGGTAAATATTTTTCTTGATTTCGGCTGGCTATTGTGAGCTACGTTACATCTATCGGTTATTCTTACTTACATTTCGTTTTGATATCTCTTGACCCGCAGAAAGTAGCCCAAGAACCAGTGGAGGAGGTTCTTCAGGGGATGACTGGATGAATGCCTTCAACGCTGCTGGTAATGGAGCGTCAGATTCATTGTCAAGATACGGATCAGGTGGTCACAGTCACAGCCGCCGTTACAGCGATCCTGTTCAGAACGGAGATTTACCATCACCAGGCTCTGGTAGCAACCGCCGCACCACACCAAACCGGCTTCCACCAGCACCACCACCAGGTGGATCATCTTACAGGTATTAGAACCTGAAAGAAAGAAAAGAAAAAGTCGGAGACTGATTCTTTCACCGGAGTTTGGGTCCCGTATTGTGGGACGAAATCACTCTTTATTTTACTAGTTTAAAAAGGGGACTGGATGATTGAACCACCTGTTTTGTCTTCTTTGTAGATAGATATTATCACATCACACGTGTGTGTTTGCAGCTAAGAGTTTGTTTCATGAGTCCATGTCTGTCTGAATATTTTTGTTCTTATTCAACTCTTTTTTTTTGGCATCTTTGTTGTGGGGCAAGTATGGACTTTTGAGCTCCTTATTTGTAAGCATATTCATGCAATATTTTTGAAAGTTTTACACTTTTTTTCTAAAACATACTTTTCTTTAAAATTATGGAATCTGCTGCTTAAACCCCGGTCGGACCAGTAATTCTACGACCGAGACTGTAACCCGGTCAGCTCCGAATGTTAAAGTCCATCAACTCTTAACAGAAAAGCCCGCTATTAACTTGCCAAACTTCCAGTGCATCCAGAGGTTTTTCCGAAACCCTATTATATTAAGTCGATTTTTAACATTTTGAGATTAATATATAGGGTTCAGTTTCTTAGAACCTACCTCACGCGGCTGTGTTCCCCCCAAAATCATTCTTGAAATCTCTTTGTATGTCTTCTCAGAACTCTCTCATCTTCTTTTGTTTCCGAAAGCATTCTTTTCTTACTTGTTCCCTACAAACCCTGTTGTACATTGCCGTACACTCTTCATATGTTTGTGATTACTCTAAACTCTATATCTTATGCAAAAATGTTTCATCACAGAGAGTTTCGTTTATTATATAGTAGTTCTAGAGATTGTGATCGTAAAAGGTTTATTGTTTGATGCTCTTGTGATGTGGATTCATTCATGGACTCTTTACCTCTGTGCTATTCTAACTCTCTTGTTATGTATAATGGTTCTTATATGCATGTCAGATAAACCTAAGAAGCAATGGTGAAGTATAATTTCAAGAAGATTACAGTTGTGCCTAATGGAAAAGAGTTTGTTGACATCATCCTCTCACGCACTCAGCGCCAGACAGCAACAGTTATCCACAAGAGCAACAAGACCAGTCAACTCCGTAGCTTCTACATGAGAAAAGTCAAGTTCACACAATCGAATTTCGTTGACAAACTCTCCACCATCGTCAACGAGTTTCCTCGCCTAGATGAGATTCAACCCTTCTACGAAAACCTTCTTAACGTCCTCTACGACAAGGATCACTACAAGCTAGCTCTAGGTCAGCTCAATACCGCCAAGAAGCTGATCACAAGAATCGGTAGTGATTACGTGAAGCTACTCAAGTTTGGTGATTCTCTTTACCGATGCAAGTCGTTGAAAGTCTCTGCTCTTGGTCGTATGTGTACTGTTATGAAGAGAGTTGATCCTAGTTTGGCTTATCTTGAGGAGGTTAGGCAACACATGGCGAGGCTTCCTTCGATAGATCCCAACACACGGACTCTCTTGATTTGTGGATGTCCTAATGTGGGGAAGAGTTCTTTTATGAACAAAGTTACAAGAGCTGATGTTGATGTTCAGCCATATGCTTTCACCACGAAGTCTCTCTTTGTTGGTCATACTGATTACAAGTGTTTGAGGTATCAGGTGATTGATACACCTGGGGTTTTGGATAGGCCAATGGAAGACCGTAACATCATTGAGATGTGTAGTGTCACTGCTTTCGCCTATCTTAGAGCTGCTGTTTTGTTCTTTTTGGATGTTTCCGGGACTTGTGGTTACAGCATTGCTCAGCAGGCTGCTCTTTTCCACAGCTTGAAGTCTTTGTTCGCAAACAAACCGTTGGTGATTGTTTGCAACAAGACTGATTTGGTGTCTATTGAAAGCTTGTCTGAAGAAGATCTGAAGCTGATTGAAGAGATGAAGAGTGAAGAGGCTGTGGTTTTGAATATGAGTACTCTGACGGAAGAAGGTGTCATGGCTGTGAAGAATGCTGCTTGTGAGATGCTGTTAGATCAAAGGGTAGAGGAAAAGATGAAATCTAGACGTGTTAATGACCACTTGAACAGGTTCCATGTGGCTATGCCGAAGCTTCGTGATGACAAAGAGAGGCTACCTTGTACACCTCATGTAGTTATGGAAGGTGGTGAAAAGAAGAAGACTGAGAAAGATTTGGAAGATGAGAACGGTGGAGCTGGAGTTTATTCTGCTTCTTTGAAGAAGAAGTACATCTTGGCAGATGAAAGTTGGAAGGATGACATCATACCTGAGATTTGTGATGGTCACAATGTTGCTGACTTTATTGATCCTGACATTTTGAATAGGCTTGAGGAGTTGACTAGTGAAGAAGCCCTCAGGCAGAAGGCTGATGAAGAAGGATATGAGTTTGAGATTGAAGGGGAGAAACTTACAGAGGAGCAGAAGAAACAGTTGGCTGATATTCGTAAGCGGAAAGCTTTGCTGATTCAAGAGCATAGACTCAAGAAGAGCAATGCACAAAACAGAGCAACTGTTCCAAGAAAGTTTGACAAGGACAAGAAGTTTACAAGGAAGAGATTGGGTAGAGACTTGTCATCCCTTGGTCTTGACCCTACTTCTGCTATGAACCGTGCAAGAAGCAAATCCAGAGGCAGAAAGAGGGAGAGAGATGCAATGGATGTGGATATGAACGATGAGCAACAAAGTAACAAGAAGCTGTGCGTGAGATCCATATCAAGATCGAGATCAGTGTCAAGACCTGCACATGAAGTGATACCTGGTGAAGGCTTTAAAGATTCTTCCCAGAAGATAAAGGCTATTAAGATTGGGAACAAGTCTCACAGAATGAGGAATAAAGCTGCACGTTGTGGAGAAGCTGACAGAGTTATACCGACACTTAAACCAAAACACTTGTTTTCTGGTAAAAGAGGGAAAGGAAAAACTCAAAGGCGTTGATACCAAATAATCAAAGGTACATTACATTACTTACATCTCTCTCTGAGCATAAGCCTTATGCAATCTCTCTATCAGTCTTGTTTGCAACCACGGTTAACCGTAATAATATAGTTTGGTATTGTGATTTGTAAGCTGGAAAAAAGAGAATAAATATTATGTATTTGTTTCTTGCAGGGGCCAGGGAATATACTCATTAAGATTTATGAAGGGACTGAAGAATAGCTGCACTTTTTTTTTTTTACTATTTATATGTTGCTTTTATAAGTTAATGAACTCTTGGAGATGGTTTTTTAGATGATTATGATTATTGATACTTTGTTATATGCTATTTCGTTATGGTTGTCTCAGTTCCAACTGACTCTCTTATTTATTTATATATATACAAAAGTTCGTAGTCTTGGGATATTTGGATTCGTTGTAATAAGATTATATCTTGTTCTGAAACCTTTAAGAGTTGTATGTATGTTAAAATAAATAATCACTTAGTAATTAAGTAAAACGTGGCTTTGAAGTTATTATTTCAAAACCAAAAACCCTCCTCTCCTTGAATGGATTTAAAACCCTAAGACACACAAAACAAAACAAAAACAGAGAATATGAAATCATAACTGCAAGGAAGAAAACTCCTGGCACAGAGGAGACAAACCAGCCGAGACTCTTTCTCTTGCGTGAATCAACACCAAGTCTATTTCGAAACCGTTAGTGCCAAAACCTAACTCACTTGCAGCAGAAGCGATGCGTGGGGCTAAGAGATCACATATCCAAGTGACCGTACCGACGGGCCTGGCTGAGACATCGCCGTCTGAAGAAGGAATGTTCATGAAGCTACTGAAGAGACGATGAGCGATGTGACTGTGACATGTGCTTTCGATACTGAAGCTGATGAGAAAAGTTGAGTTGTGTGTTGGGTTACTGGTTTGGATCCATGTTCTGATTCCTGTGACAGGATCTTCATGGATGTCTTCAATAGTTGAACCAAACGAGACGGTGACTTTGTTTCCCATCCCTTCTGATGGAGAGAGCCTTCTCGTAGACTTGTGAACTCTCAATTGGTCGTTAGAAGGATTCATCATAATCTTTTGACAAAAGAAGAAGCGATTAAGGATATTAGAATAAGCTTTTAGAGTTCTCTCTTTATATATAGGCGCGCGCTTTTTACAATCCCACGTGGATTACAACTCCAGTAAGGAGTAGGAAATCAGTTTATAATTATTACCATCTCAAACTAAAAAAAATATAACTTTATTATTTTCTCAACTGAATGAATACATAAGAAATTATGTCATTATCCTGCTTTAAAAAATTTAAATAAATCTTTTGTGTGATTATTACACCATGCGGATCTACAATTTTTTTTTCGGAAAAGGAATGGGAAATCGAATTTTAATTATTATTATCTCAAATTAAAAAGAGAGAAGCTTTGAGCAATTGGAGCCCATGCATGATTTTGAATTGATTGTAAACTCGAAATTTATTATTTTCTCAACTGAAAATATAAGAAATTAAGTCATTTTTTTCATTTTATATTAAGCTTGTGTGATTATTACACCATGCGGATCTAGAATCTTTTATTTTATTTTTGAGAAAATAGTTTTTTTAAACCAAATAGGTTTGACATTATTCCTTAGGTTAAATTCATTCACTTATTGTTCCATTAGGCTAAATATTTTCTAAATGGCAATACCACCCTTAGATTATATTGTTTTAACTATTAACTAAATTTTGACACGCGCAACCGCGCGGGTGTTTATTTTCATTTTAATATATGTATGAAGTTGTTGACCACATAAAAATCTGGTATTGTTCCTCCTTTTTCTCAGATTTATTTCCTGTTCAATAACTGATTTTAAGAATATTATTTGGTATAATAAATTATATTGAGAGAATTAAATGATATGTATTTAAATGATTTTCTAAGGATAGTCCATTTTTAAAAATATCACACATGAGAAGAAGTTGTGACTTCTCTTTTAATATAATAGACTAGAGATTTGACCCGCACGTTCGTGCGGGTATATTTTTCATTTTTAAAATGTATATTTAATACCAACGTTAACGTTTTAAATATATATATATATTTAAATTTTTGTTATATTGTGTAACTTTGTAATTTTATTAAGTTTTATCAAATTATTAATATATAATATTTTTAAATTTTTAGCCAACATTATTAATATATAATGTTTTTTTGTTTGTTATGTGTGCTAATATATTTTCGAGTAAGTAAAATAAATTCATAATTTGAAATAATCAAATAGATAATCTTCTTTAGAATATTTTTTCAATAAAATTCTATAAGTTGCATTCAAAACACTTTTTTAGATTTTATTTATCTATTATAAAAGAATATTTATTTAGGCTAACTGATATTTCCATTTTTTGTTTAAAATCTAACTTTAACATATATCATTTTAGTATATTTCAAAATTTATAAATATATATATGTATTATTTTGCTTAACTAATTTAGCCATATTAATTTATAAATTTTATATATAGTAGCATCTATGATATAATTTTAGTAATTTTTATCAATATAAAAATATTAGGGATATTATGGTATTAAGTTCTCTGATTTGTTTTATTAAATTAATATTTCAAAATATTACACTACTTTTGTTTCTTAAATAGTATTTCTTTTTTTGTGTTCCATGTAAAAAAAATATACTTTATCATCTATAATTTTATCTTTTATAATTTGATTTTTTTCAAGGGGTTTTTGCAAAACCAACCTAAAATTTCAAGTCAAACACAAAACCAACCTCTTTTTTTTTGTCATTACTATTCACTCTTAAAAAACCTAAACTCTCCTCATGTTTCCACCTATTTACCAAAATGCCATTATTTTTAAATCTGATTTTATTTTCGAAAATTATAAAAAACTATTACACCCTATACATTTCTCCTTATTTACCATAATGCCATTGTCATCAATATTTGCAACCACCCAAAACTACCATTGATGAGCTCTTTAAGCTTGTGTTTATGAAATTTCAACCACTTATTTCACTTTCTAAACAAACAATACTTCATTTCCTCTCATTTCCTCTCTATTTTCATCTAAACATACCTCATAACTCTCATTTTCATAAACACAAACTTCATATTTTCGATTTTATCCACAAGTGGATCGTAAAGGTTGCTTCTTTTGCTC